GGGGGGGGGGGGGGGGGGGGGGGGGGGGGGGGGGGGGGGGGGGGGGGGGGGGGGGGGGGGGGGTGCTTCGGGGTGTCGGTTCCTGTCGCCCTTGTACTCACTCTTGGGTCTTTCGCTCGGTGAATTTTGTTTTCTTTGATCTGGTTGTGTCTCAAGGGACGAAGGCCAGAGAAACAGCGAGCACACGCAACAAAGGCGATAATTGTTGGCTACACCTCATGGTATCGTGCCTGATGCATTGTTGTTGTGCCCGTGTTAGGGCAACACGCTTGCGCGACGTCTCACAGATAGCTTTTATTTCATGTTGCCAGCCCCCCGCTGATGATGGGTATCGTTTTGGAAACCTCGCGGGTGGCTACGCATACATTACTTGATTAAGTAGATGGCGTTCTTGGGAACATGCTCGGAATACATCAAATTATGCGGTGCATGTTGTACACCTCAGTTTGTTTGCATGAAAATAATTTTTGTTCTGTTGCAGACGATTCGTTTTGTCGCCTCTTCTTTGAAAAGAGACGGTGGGACTGCTAGACGCCTACCGAGTAGGGGCGCGGGTACAGTATGCACGCCAGTACATGGAGTTGGGTTGGGTTGACGAGTGGGTTTACAGTGCTGTCGAAACACACACCAAACAAGGAAATAGAGCTCGGGACGCAAAAAATGTGGTATGTGGTAGATGACTGTTCCTTAGAGAGGACTCAAAAAATAAACCCTGAACGATCTCGCTTATAACACATGGAATGGGTGGTCGATGTGGGGAAGACGGGGTAGGTGTCCATCGTATTGTGTGTGTGAACGGCAGGTGCGGGTTGGGTTGCCATTTTATTTTTTTTACGTCGAATCGATATTGCTAGGAAGGTGCATATACATACGCATGCATATGTTGGGGGGCCATGCCTGTAAAACTCGGACATACCAATGGATGGGTAGGATAAAGTGCTTCAGCCGCAATATTTGTTGTATACTTTTTCGTATGGGAAGCGGCGGGATCACAAACTCATCGCGTGGAGCGGAGAAGCGCGGGTTGTTGTCTAGAGGGGGTCATATGCGTACAGAAAGTGTGACGTATAGTAGCAGGTATTGTAGTGCGTACCTTCGGCAGGTAGTGGTCTGCAAGAGGTTTCACTTGGTGTTTGCGTGCACGCGAGACGTCATTCAGTTGGTTTATTCTTCTGTCACCAAGGATCGGATTTCGGTGAGAGAAGTGTGCGTACTCTTGGTCGATATTTAATCACCAAGAATCGAATCGGTGTGCGAAGTGGAGTGAGTGGTGGTGGTGGTGTACTCTATGTTGGGGGGTTGAACCACCCACTGTCTGTCGGGGTAGACAAATCTGTCTGTATGGGCCATGATGGTTAGTATCTTCACACGATGTTTTGGATGACACACGTTCGTCTGACGCATGGTGACGGTGATGAGTTTCAAACTAAAATATTATTTTTATACCAATCAGTATTTTCCGGTAGTTGTCGCATCACAAGAGAGGCGGAGAACATCAAGCCGAGGAGCTGGGAAAAAGGGGGATTGTACGAGACGAGGGGCGTTGGGCTCATGCATCCCCCAAAGTCGAAAAAGAGGAACGCACTGCACACTCATGATACGTCAGACACCGTTTGGGCCCGCGGAGGCCTTGATTGTGTACCACACGGGAGACTGGAGGCAAGAGTGCCTGAGACACGTCTACCAAACGACCTCTCGAAATCATTGGGAGCACGAACACGGACGTTTGCCACAGCAGCTTATAAACCTTGCCGACATCCCAGTCGTCGGCGAACAAATTGTGAACCCTTCGGGCCGTCGTTCGCAAGAGTTGGAAGGCGCTGGCGCCAAGCTGTCGGAAGACACTTGCCTGTCACGAAGGTGTGGTGTACACCAATGAGTTTATTGTTGGTTCCTCGCGCATCGTTCCAAACAGCAGCAACAGCATAACCACAAGACACCAACATCTCCCCTCCCTAACACACAACACAAAAGTCGACAATAAACGCAACACCAGCAGTAAGGTGTCTCCTCCCCATCTTTAAATCAAACCGCCGAAAACCAAGCCAACACGTCCTGCGTTGCTACCCGCAGCGTTGCTCCGAAAGAAAGCAATGTCGCCGCCGACTGCTCCCATGTGGTATGCTGAATCTGTACTTCCGTCCGTCAAAGCTAACATACGTAAGGTCCACTTTGTTCTCCTCCACTATTGTGCCATGAGATTCTTAGCGGGACTGCAACTTCTGGGTTGTGCCATGAATTTCTTAGCGGGACTACAACTTCTGGGTTCAACTTCTGGGTTATGGCAAGCATGATCACGGAAGCGACAAACAAACACGCGCATCTTTGCACAGCAACGGCTGTGCACGCAATACGAGAGCAACACGCAGGCGTTAGGTATGCATACACCAGACGCATGCATCCAGGACAGAAACAGATGACAACGGGAAAAGAACGTGGTTTCATGCTGCCCACGAGCACCCCAGATGGGTTGTTGAGTGCATGACAAAATTGTAGATCTAGCAGCCGGTAGCGTCAGACGCAGTACTTTCTCTCGACGATACTCTCAACTTACGAAGTACAAATGTACGGCAAGCAAACAACCCTTGCCGGTAGTCAGTGCAACCAGACATGACATGTTGATAACACCGCGCTTCCCCCTGCCGTCTGGACACGGCAGTGAAAGCAGCCGCAGCAGCAACGGCAACAGCACGCGACGCACCCAAAACGAAGAAGAAAAAGCTCTGTACATGACCCTCGTGGGATGATGCTCGTTTAGCCTATTCCCTTGGTGACTTGTCCAACGACAGATACGCGGTCGTGGTTCGCTAGTGACGCAACCGTTCCAAACCCACTCCGTCATCACGGCGGGCGACAAGACAAACGTGGTGCTCGCTGACAATACAGCAGGAGCATCGAGTCAACTATCACGCCGACCCAGGGTCAGCAGAAGAAGACGCCCCCGATTCCAAGGCCCTCGTGAGGTGCAATATGCGGTAGTCTCTCCTCTTGATGACTTCCCGCAACTTCGCCACCTCCGCGTTGGCCTCCTTTACCGAGTCCAACTCTCCCGTCTCCGTCGCCATGGCCGCGCGAATCTCCCGGAGCTTGGCGAGCATCTCCTTCTGGTGCTGCTGAAGCAGAGTGTGACCGTCGTTCCCGCCTGCTTTCCCCATCCGGCGGAGAAAAGGGGGGGTTTGTTTAGTTTAGGGGTGGTGTTCGCAAGGAATGATGCTCATTTTCATCTCGGCAGGACAGGCAGTGACGGTGCCGAAAATGGCGTTGGAACCGTCTCGTCGAAAACTTTCCGAAAACGCATGTACTTCAATTTCGTCATCCTCTTCGTCGTGGACTAGGCAACCTTATGCAACCTAAGGTAGACTACACGCCAGCAGACTGGTACGAAGCACCGCTTTTTGTGTAGAAGAAACCGCTCATGAAAAAACACAGCAGTGTACAAGCTCACCTGCCAGCCCCTCGAGCTTGGAGAGCTGTTCAGTCATCTCCTGCTTAAAGGTAGTCGTGTCGAGGCCAGTATTGTGCAGGGCGGGGGGAACCGTGGATGGGTAGGGGGAAATCACACGGCGACACGTCATATGTGGGTATGTCGATTACATGGTCTACGTACTAAAAAAGTATTCCGGTAACACCGAGGAAATTGCCACCCGAACTGCCATAACGAAGCTCGAGGAACTGCAGTTATTTTGTTTTGCCTCTCCGCTGTAGATATTCATGTTGCCCTCTCGACGTGACAGCGCATGCATATTGCATGACGAGGTATCAAGGGTACAGTACCACTGACTGCGGTACAAAAGCAGACCAATCAACGCTACAGCGCCAAACAGAAACCCTGTTTAGTGTAAGTCACACGCACCTTGATCTTGGATTCCATGGTGCTAGCAGGAGAAATGCGTCCAGCTGAGGAGCGAGGCGATAAGGTTGGGATAGAGTGAGACAAGATCTGAGCAGGAGAGCGTTCACAAAGTGCAAACTCGCGCCGAGGTGAGGTGAGTCGCAGGCAGCAGAGAAGTCGGCTCAATTGGCAGCCCAAAGTTCGCGGCACTGTCAACAAATTCTGCGTCGCCCCCTTGCCAATTGTCCAGATTTTCGCCGTGTCGCTGTGTCTCACCCACTGCACTGCTACAGAAGTTCCTCGGTTGCCTTGCCGCTCTCTTATCCTCTCCCGCTACCGCTCTATCGTCTCGAGATGGACCCTCAAGGCACTGATTCGGATAACATCCGGCAGAAGATTGAAGCGCTGGTTGCGAAGAAGGACTTTCGTGCCGCCGTCGTGCAATGCGAAGAACTCGAGATCTTGGTAAGAGACCTCTCTCTCGCTCTCTCCTGTCCGGACCTGTGTGTCGTCCACATGGCAGTGCCCGCCGCCGCCGCCGCCGCCACTATCGAAAGCAACACCAGCAAGAGTGCGTGGTTGTGCCTTGGTTTCAGCTGGGCTCTGGAACGGTGGCGCTGCTGAGTTCTCCTTCCTTGGCTAGATAGCAACACAAATACCTCGGCACACACACAGCGCGGGATATCCAGCAACTGAGAACTGCTGCACTGCCGTGTACCATTGCGTGTTTCAACAAGATTAAAACCGCCGCTGCTCCTTCCTGTCGTTGCACATGTTGTTACGCACACTCTCTGCGCTACCAGCTGCAGGGCTGCACCTCATATGCTCGCTTGCATTCTGCTTTGTGACTCCCCC